TCGGGCGGTGGTCTTAATGTACCTGATAAATCTCATAGTTTGTTGTCTCAGGCTGTGGTCTTACTGTACCCGATAAATATCCTAGTTTGTTGTCTCGGGCGGTGGTCTTAATGTACCTGATAAATCTCATAGTTTGTTGTCTCAGGCTGTGGTCTTACTGTACCAGATAAATATCCTAGTTTGTTGTCTCGGGCGGTGGTCTTAATGTACCTGATAAATCTCATAGTTTGTTGTCTCAGGCTGTGGTCTTACTGTACCCGATAAATATCCTAGTTTGTTGTCTCGGGCGGTGGTCTTAATGTACCTGATAAATCTCATAGTTTGTTGTCTCAGGCGGTGGTCTTAATGTACCTGATAAATATCCTAGTTTGTTGTCTCAGGCTGTGGTCTTAATGTACCTGATAAATCTCTTAGTTTGTTGTCTCGGGCAGTGGTCTTAATGTACCTGATAAATCTCTTAGTTTGTTGTCTCAGGCTGTGGTCTTACTGTACCCGATAAATATCCTAGTTTGTTGTCTCGGGCGGTGGTCTTAATGTACCTGATAAATCTCATAGTTTGTTGTCTCAGGCTGTGGTCTTACTGTACCTGTTAAATCTCTTAGTTTGTTGTCTCAGGCTGTGGTATTACTGTACCTGTTAAATCTCTTAGTTTGTTGCCTCGGGCCGTGGTCTTACTGTACCTGTTAAATCTCAATATCCTTACTTGTTGTCTTTCATAGAAGAATATTCTTGTAGTTTTCATACAGGTATAATATGACACACTAAAACGAACATCATCGTGTATAAAAAGAAATCCAAAGCCTCTAAGTATTTTGGAAGTGTTTCAAAACTTTTCTTGAAGCTGCATTATTTCTTTTAACTGCCTCCAACTTGCCTTTTTCAAAATTGTAATTAATTTACACGTAGCACAACATTTTTGAATTTTTAGTTATAAAATAAACTACATAATATCATATAATGCTAAGATATAAATTCTGCAATGTTTTCGAATCAAAAGAGTTGTTGAAATGAAATTAGATTTATATATTTTTTATTAAATTTTACAAGTTGACTTGTGAACGTGCAGTCGAAGTGACCTTGGCATTCCATCAGTTAGGAAACTATAATCTACTTGTGATATTTGTACAAACAAATTCTGACATTTTATATTTTGTAATGCAACTTTGCTAAACGTTTAACACTATAGATAAAATTGCTGGTAGATAAAGTGACTATGAATTAGCTTGAATGTATCTACGTTGAATAGTATACGACTCCCTGAAGAAATTTTGTTTGATAAGTTTTTATTTAGTAATTAATAATCTGAATAATTTTTCCAGTGAGCACAGCAGTTCATTCATATTGATTTACTTAATAGATTCATATCAGTGAGATTGTTGAAATTTTAGAGATTTATTTATTGCAGTATGTCAGAATTTGGGGAAATTTGAATAGTACTTTTTAAGTATAACATAAAGTTGTCAAATGACACTACCCTAAAACTGAAAACAACTATCTGTCATGTATTTTACAATTATGTAAGTTCCAGTATTATTATTTATTGAGAAAAGAAAAGTTGTTGGATGCCTTTTGCATGATAAATTAAACCAATCAAAACTGGATACGAGTTGAAGAGGCATTTTTGGGCCTTTTTTTACACTGTTCATACAAAATTAATTGTCCCGGCATGGCCAGGTGGTTAGGGCTCTTGACTCGCAATCTGTGGGTCGTGGGTTCGAATCCCTATCACACCAAACATGCTTGCGCCTTCAGCCATGGAGGCATTATAATGTGACGGTCAGTCCCACTATTCGTTGGTAAAAGAGTAGCCCAAGAGTTGGCGATAGGTGGTAATGACTAGCTGCCTTCTCTATAGACTTACATTGCTAAGCTAGGGATGGCTAGCGCAGATAGCCCTCGTGTAGCTTTGCGAGAAATCCGTAACAAACAAACAAACTAATTTATCAAACAGACTAAAGCCAGATTTTGCAAGAAAATAATTTGTATGAGATTGGAACTATTATTTCATTGTCCCCTGGCAGATCGATGGTAAATTTCCAGACTTACAATGCTAAAATCTGGGCGTTCGATTGCATGGTGGACCGAGTGCACATAGCCCATTGTGTAGCTTTACACTTAATAAACAACAACAATATAATTATGTTATGTATATTTTCTTAATTTCTAATGTCTGTTGTTTTGTGATGTACTTAAGGATTTTTCTCTCTCTCTCTCTCTCCCTCCTTTATTAAATATTAAAGCAACTAAACAGATAAACGTTTTTCAACATAGAAAAATGTTTTTTTTTCACATATTAATTGTCATCAGCAGGTTTGTGTATACGTGTTTTAAATTTTTCTTTCAGAGATAATTATACACTCCAAATCAATCCTTTTTCTGGCTTGTGTAATGAAGATCACCTCTTGTATTTTAAGTTCATTGGAAGGATAGCTGGAATGGCAATTTATCATGGAAAACTTTTAGATGGTATGTGTAGAATTTATGTTTTCTTCTTTGTTTGAATACTGTTGGAAACATCCTGAGCTTTCATAGATTTTTTTCTTAAGCATACTTCCATTTTAATTAATTAAACTTATCAAGTTGTTAACATGTATACATTTGTGCTAGCCATTAGGTCTAAAACAATCTTTATGTAGCGAATTTACATTTCATATATGTTGTATGTGATATTTTTAGTGAGCTCAAAGTTTAGAATCAAGTAACACCCATTAAGCATTCATTAACACTTTGTATTTTTCATCAGTGTAGGATATGTACAATTAAGAAGCTAGAGATAAGAAAGAAAGAAATAGTGCTACTAATTTCTTTGGATGTTTTAAAAGTATTAATTGAATTATTGTAAAATTTTATTTTTTTTTCTCTCTAGCTTTCTTCATTCGTCCATTTTACAAGATGATGCTCGGGAAAGAAATTAAATTAAAAGATATGGAATCAGTGGTAAGTAAATATCTAAAGATGTTTTCTAGATTTTGTTTACTGTAGGAGAAGGCAAGGAAGATCTTCACGTGAAAAGTACTTGTAATTGTCTTGTATCACTATTTATATGATTTTTCATGCACAAAATAATTACAGAATTTAAATATGTTATATTAAAACATTTTTGGAGCCTCACCACGTTGTTACAGTACGTTTCACCACATCCAATCACATTCTGTCATGCATCTTGACAATAACCTTGCAGCATAATTTTCATTGCAGAAAGCTCTGTCACAAGGCTGTCATGTCCGAAGCACAATATACCTCTCTGGATGCTTTCCATGACCCATCTAGTATATGAGGATAACAGTTTGCTACCACCTGTTTTAACAGCCCGATTGTACAGAAATCCATAAATGCTCTGCTGTCGTCTTTACCAGTATGCTTTCATATGGAATAGCACAATTATCCACTTCATCCTTAAGCTGCTTGATGTATTCAATGGTTGAACAGGGGATAGGGGAGTTGTTATGAAGCCTAAAGTCAAATAAATAATCACTGTATAAATATTTTAAATTTGACAGGTTACAATACAATTTATAATGCAAGATATATATATTAATTTTGCAACAGAATACGAGTTTTCTCGATGGAAATGGATCCTACAATAGGGTAAGGGTAACTCGAGGACAAACATGGAAGTGGAAGATGCTTTATGTATGTGGCTAAATATTAGAGATACTTGTATTAACAGAAACATAATGTTTACTAAAGTTTTAGCAAAAATACTGAAAAGCCTTTCAAATTGTACTGTGAATTAAAGGTTTATGAAGGGTTAGAGAAAAATGAAATTAAGTGAATACAACATTGATGGCCAGGCATGGCCAAAATGTGTTGTGGTAGGGGAGAGGTGAAGAGGGAGTTTGTTTTTACCAAATGTGAAACCATTCAGTAAAAATAAACTTTGTACTTCTTTTTCACTTATTGTTTTAATTTTTTTTATTAATATTTAGCCTGTGTCACTTATTATACTGAAGAATGGTCAGCTCTAGTTCAAGCTTTTCAGAATTAAACAATAATCAAGAAACAACCTTTCAGTTTCACCTAAACACGTGGACTTTGGTTTACCGAATTAAATGTAAAAGTCATTCAGCAAAATAAAGAGACTTTACAGTTTTTTTTTAATCATGTTGTATTCTGTGTTACTTAGCCTTTCCTCATCTATTAAGTTTATATTCTTTCTTCATTTAACAATAAGACTTAAATGAATTACACTACAGACCTGCTACGTCTCATACATTTACCAGTCGCTTCAGCTGAAGGTGAATGTGCCTTCAGCAGGAATAAACTACTGGAGATAAAACTTTGGTTAATGGCGACAGATGACAGACTGAACCATCTGTTGATTATGGTGTGCAAACAGGACATCACTGCCATTATTGACCCATGTGGTGTTTTAAACAGATGAGTACAAACTAAGAAAAGGTATATGACCAACATCTTGGTCAGTGACGGAAGAACAGGGGAGTGATAGGTTTTATCACCCTCAAGTTGAAGACTTCCCTTGGAGACCAAAACAACAACATTTCTATTTAGATATCTTCAATGTTCATGCATCAAAATAAAAGGATACTAGTGACTTGACAACAATGCCCTTCATGAGTAAGTAATATTTGTTAATATTGACAACAGTACCCTTCATGAGTAAGTAATATTTGTTAATATTGACAACAGTATCCTTCATGAGTAAGTAATATTTGTTAACATTTACAACACTACCCTTCATGAGTAAGTAATATTTGTTAATATTTACAACACTACCCTTCATGAGTAAGTAATATTTGTTAATATTTACAACACTACCCTTCATGAGTAAGTCATATTTGTTAATATTTACAACACTACCCTTCATGAGTAAGTCATATTTGTTAATATTGACAACAGTACCCTTCATGAGTAAGTCCTATTTGTTAATATTGACAACAATACCCTTCATGAGTAAGTCCTATTTGTTAATATTGACAACAGTACCCTTCATGAGTAAGTAATATTTGTTAATATTGACAACAGTACCCTTCATGAGTAAGTCACATTTGTTAATATTGACAACAGTACCCTTCATGAGTAAATATTGTTTGTTAATATTGACAACAGTATCCTTCATGAGTAAGTCCTATTTGTTAATATTGACAACAATACCCTTCATGAGTAAGTCCTATTTGTTAATATTGACAACAATACCCTTCATGAATAAATATTGTTTGTTAATATTGACAATAGTACCCTTCATGAGTAAGTAATATTTGTTAATATTGACAACAGTACCCTTCATGAGTAAGTCACATTTGTTAATATTGACAACAGTACCCTTCATGAGTAAGTCACATTTGTTAATATTGACAACAGTATCCTTCATGAATAAATATTGTTTGTTAATATTGACAACAGTACCCTTCATGAGTAAGTCACATTTGTTAATATTGACAACAGTACCCTTCATGAGTAAGTCACATTTGTTAATATTGACAACAGTATCCTTCATGAATAAATATTGTTTGTTAATATTGACAACAATACCCTTCATGAGTAAGTCCTATTTGTTAATATTGACAACAATACCCTTCATGAATAAATATTGTTTGTTAATATTGACAACAGTACCCTTCATGAGTAAGTAATATTTGTTAATATTGACAACAGTACCCTTCATGAGTAAGTCACATTTGTTAATATTGACTACAGTATCCTTCATGAGTAAGTCACATTTGTTAATATTGACAACAGTATCCTTCATGAATAAATATTGTTTGTTAATATTGACAACAGTATCCTTCATGAGTAAGTCACATTTGTTAATATTGACAACAATACCTTTCATGAGTAAGTAATATTTGACAATTTTAGGTTTGTTAAAACTTGCTTCTCCTGGCAAGAAAGAAGCTCTTGCACATCCGGTCTAGATGACTTTACATACTGGGCTTCAATAATAATTCTCACATATTTAATGAAGTAAAATAAACACCAGGTTGTGAACCTAATTCCACAAAGAGTTGAGAGACCTGGATATCTAGTTTGGATGCATAAATCACAATTTGCAGATGTACAAGTTTGTGATTGTAATTTTCATTGTTATTTATTTCTTTCTTCAATTTTTTTCTTGTGAAACCTTGCAAGTTGTGACTAGACTCTTTAAATTTCTTTCTTTTTGTCTTCCGAAACATTTTCGTTTCCATTCAGTAAAATCTCTGTTTTTCACTCAACCCCTCACCCTTTAACCATAAAGTGGTTGCAAATCGCGCTACATCAATTTTCCTTCTAATTTTTTTTTCAATTCATGTGTGGAATGAATTTTTTCATGTGCATCAGTATCAAGGCTGTGTGCAGATGTGCACTACCAGGTTTTTTTTTTAGGGGCGGGGGTTGTTTTTCGACCATCGACCCTATTGGATCATCAGGCTGTTTTGTAATGCTACCAGTTGATTGTTTGGGCTTTAGGCCTATCGACTGCCAGGGTCATTAAGGCCGTCAACGTGTTGAGACTCCTCACCATTACCGAGGATGTGCACGGCTGGAATAATGAAGTGTGCGTCACTTGATTGGTTGTTGTGCAGCTTAGAGGGAACACTGCACTGCCCCTAGTGCAACTCACCGTACAATCACACTGACCCTCTGATAATGTGTGAGTTTACAGAAGTGAATGACACTACATACTTATTAACAAATCTTTAAATGGTACCTAATTCCTGCAACATTATGTGGCTAAGTGTCTTTGTTATACCCTGAAGTTTGAAATTGTCTAGTATTAATTGTAGTAATTATACTGCTATAGCACTATGGTCAAGTGATGGAAATATTTTGTTGTTTTACATGATTTTTAGTACGTACTAGAGGGATTTAGACATTTCGACAATGAAGTTAGTGGGAAAACAACATTTACTTTACAGATAATAATAAAAAAAAAATCTGTTATTTCAGCCAACATTTTGCCATTGCAAAAAGTGTACAAGCTATCTTCAGGTTAATTTATTCTTATTTTATGAGAAATGTAAATTGATTTGTAGCTCATACAGTAAGCTTTGTGTAACAATCTTTGTTTCTTTAGGATACTGAATATTACAACTCGTTACTGTGGATCCTAGAAAATGATCCAGCTGAGCTGGAGTTGACCTTCTCTGTAGATGAAGAACTCTTTGGCAAAATGCAGCAAAGGGAACTTAAACCAGGAGGTGCCAACATCCATTTAAATAAAGAAAATAGGCTTGAGTATATAAAGTAAGCGTAATCCTTGACTTATTGAGTCTTAGGTAAACCGTGATCATGTAAAATAGCTATTTCTTATATGGCTAACATCTGTTTCACTCAACATAAAAACATCATTAGGTGAAGTCAATGTTACTCTTAATGAATCCAACATATCCAATATAAAAATAGAAGGAACTGTAATCAGCTAGAGTGGACAAAGCCTAATTAAGAATTAACTGTAATTGTATCTTTTAATAATTTCATACTTTTCTACCTAATCTTTGTGATGGGCTCAAATATTTTCTGAATTAGAAGAGTATTGAACATCTAAATCAATGTCACTACTAAGTTCAATCATAGAGACTCGTTTATGGAATACAGTTTGTAATTTCTAGCAGTAACTAACGAACTAATGTGACTGTTAATAAAACAACTCGGTTATGAAATCATGAATGAAAGATTACAGTGTGAGTAAGATTATATAACTTACATATCTTTAAGAAAACAGGTTTAAGAAAAGTGATTATAATCTGTATAGTTATTGTACAGTTTTTTTTAAGCCTTAGTGTGTAAAAAGAACTTTTATTTACTTATTCAAACTACTTTTCATATAGTATGAAGGATTTTAAGGTTAAGATATGCAAAAAATAATACCTGTTTATGAACCAAAATATAGTACATTACCAAATCAGATTGCTAACTTCAAAAATGCTATGAATAACAGTATTTTGTTATATGTAGCTTATTTATGGAGAAAAAAAACTGACATTTTGTGGTGTTACTAACAGTGTAAAATTGTAATCGCATTGTATTTGGTATTTAAAACATGAAAGTATTTCTTTTAAAAATGAACTTGAAAAAGAACTTGCAAAGAAAAATTTTAAATTATGATTTACTGAATTATTTACAGTTTATGTATGTCTTATGATTTTTTTTTTTTTTTCACTAAAATGAAAAATATTTTTCTCTTTGTTTGTTTAGAGGTATTGTAAGTTACTTTTAAGCTATCTGAAGTACAGTAAAAGTACTTTTAACATTTATAATAATAATAATATACTTTGATATATTTAGTCTAGTCATCCGGTGGAGATTTGTATCCCGAATCCAGCCTCAGATGAATGCCTTTCTTGAAGGTTTTAATGATATCGTTCCACTCTCTCTTATCAAATTGTTTGATGAGCATGAATTGGAGCTGCTTATGTGTGGGATTGGAAAAATTGATGTTAAAGATTGGAAGAATAATACAGTCTACAAGGGAGGTTATCAACCCAATCACATCGTAATTCAGTGGTTCTGGCGAGTAAGTTTTAGTTCAATGACTTGTAGTAAATTAATAAAACCGTTACACATTGTCGAAGGTAAAGGAATATGTTTATACAATACTGTGTAAAGTAATTTTAACTAAAGTTTAAATCTACAATAATAGAACAATAACAAAGTTTAGTGTTGTTTTGTTATTGTGGACTTAAAGTTTATTTTATAACCTGTTTATACGAGTGTCTTCAGGTGAAATTTTGTACTTCAACCTCTGAAACTATGATGATGTTTATAAGCACAATACAATATTTATTGATGAAAAATGTACTTGTTAAATGTGATCATTGATAAAAGCTTGGATGCTTTGTGAGGAATTAGCTTACCTGGTCACAAATTCTGTTGAGAATTATTTTTGAGTTTAACGATGAATTTTATCGACAAGTTAATGATTTAGCAGTGGGATCTATTTTATCTTCTGTTGTAAGTGATATTTGTGAAACAACGAAATTAATTCAAGTTATCTCTAAACCCACTGATATAAAATGTTTCTTGATGGTACTTTCTTGGTGAGGTGACGTGGCAAACACAATTTAATGGATTTATTTTTATTATTTGAATGAGAATAGTGTCTCTTGATGGTACTTTCTTGGTAAGGTGACGTGGCAAACACAATTTAATTTATAAACATATGTTTATAAATCATTGTTTGCTGATTTAATAGTATCAGGTACTGTTTATAAATACAACTATAAAAGTTCATTTTAACCCCGTCCTTCATGGTAGGTCAACATTTCACGATACAAACTATAGCTATTGCAACTGACTGTCCCGGCACGGCATGGCCAGGTGGTTAGGGTGCTTGACTCGCAATCTGAGGGTCACAGGTTTGAATCTCCATCCCACCAAACATGCTTGCCCTTTCAGCCATGGGGGCATTATAATGTGATGGTCAATCCTACTAGTTGGTAAAAGAGTAGCCCAAGAGTTGATGGTGGATGGTGATGATTAGCTGCCTTCCCTCTAGATTTTCACTGCTAAATTAGGGATGGCTAGTGCAGATAGCCCTCGTGTTGCTTTGTACAAAATTCAGATCAAGCCAAACCAATCCAACTGACCTGTATTATAATATATATATATATAAGAAATTTTCTTTACTAAAAAAAAAGTAAGTTCAGATCATTTCAAAATCACTCCACTCGTACTTATTTCAAGTTTATAGGCCTACAGTTATAAGATTATGGAAGATTTTTAAAGGTAAATTTTCATTTCTTCTCTTTGATTTTTCTAGGTTGTTTTTCTTTTTTTTCCTTCTCTTTCTCTTAAACCTTGAAGTCAACTGTCGTAAGAGATTTTAATAGCTTAAATTTGGCTTTACACTATTTCCATCTATGTTACATTTGAAATAACTTTGAAGAAAGACTTAGAAAAAAACAATTAAAACTCTCATCTATAATGACAAACTCCAACCAAAAGCAAAATAATATCTTTACTAATAATTTATTTTAGCTTTCCTGTACCTCAACTTATTTAGTTACATATCTAAGTTTTATGTAGCCTTTCTCAAACCTTTTGACCAAGAAAATAGATTATTAAAGAAATTCTTGAGCTGATTGATTAATTTTCTGTGGGTTAACAGTACTGGTCAGCTTTAATTCTATTATTGTCTTACTATAAAGCTGATTCATTATGTATGTGTTAACATCTATTGCCCAGAGTTTGCTGGCTCAGTTAGTGTAATTGTTTTTGTATGGTAACTGGAAAATGTCTGACAATGTATATGGGTCCTTAGTTTTGTATTTTCTTCCCAAGAAGGGGGTAAGAAAAGACCCTGAAGTAGGGCATGTTTCTACTGTTTGATAGACTTTTGGCTTTGAATTTAAAGTGCTTAATCAGTTAAACAAGTCGATTATTACCTTCCACGAAACAGGGTATGCAGTTAACATCTAAAGAGGTCATTAGGGATAATGAAAAAAAAAAAGGAACATTATCTAATATTGTCCTTTATACAGTTTTTGCTTCATTAATGGGTATACGCAGCTAGTATGAAATAAAATTTATGACTAATCTTTTTTTTTTGTTTTTAAAGGCAAGTTTTTTTTAGTTTATTTTAATACAACATCTGACCAATTAAAGCAGCTGGACTGAACCCTTGCATGGACTTTTCTTGTTGTGTAAGGCTTAACCTTTATGCAGTTGCGGCTTTTATGTTCATAGACTACCACAATCACATTTTAAGTGAAGAGAGAAGGTTATAATTGAATGAAGACTTAAGTCATTAGAAAAATTTAAGTTTATTTCTTATGACTGTAGCTCTGTGTAATAAACATGACTTAAAGTTATAACATTGTCTGTAGCTCTCTAATTGATGTTCTAATTTAGTACCAAAATTTAAACTTTTTCATTGAACAAAACCCATAAATAATAGTGAAAATTTAAAAAAAACATTTATGTGTTATATTGTATCCATACAGTCAGAATATTTTACTAAGGCTTGAAAAATTGTCAGTTGTTACCAACCATAATGTTTTCGTATACTTGTGTTTCTGTAACAACTACACAATATATGATTATTCTCTGCTGATCTTTATAGCTTTATAAGTATAATGATTGCATGTTATTTTCCTTAGCTTCTGTTATCTTTTAACAATGAGATGAGAGCAAGACTGCTTCAGTTTGTAACGGGAACATCTCGGGTCCCTATGAATGGTTTCAAGGAATTGTACGGAAGCAATGGCCCCCAGCTCTTTACTATTGAGAAGTGGGGAAATGTTGAAAATCTGCCTCGCTCACACACATGGTTAGTCATTTTTACTTATTATATATTTGGGGAAAAAAACACTTATATTTTTAAATACTACTTTCTGTATTTACTCCCCCTAGAGAGTTAGAAGAGTGAATAATGATGGTGTTCCAACACATTGTATTCATCATATCCATTACTTAAAGGAATAGATATGGAATGGAATGTTTAAATATATAATGGGTTTAATACTAATGTCTTGTGACAAATATAATTAATAGATAAAGAGTGTTCTTCTGTACATAATGAGAATGAATACAGAATAGCAGACACCTTTAGTACTAAAAAGTTCAGTTTCAGAAAAAAACATGCTGTGTCAGTGGAACCTTAATGTTACTCGTATATACATTCTCCTGTTTAACATATGGAGATCCAGTTAAATATTAACTGCATGTTTATTCCCCTGTTTAATAGATGGAGATCCAGTTAAATATTAACTACATGTTTATTCCCCTGTTGAACATATGGAGATTCAGTTAAATATTAACTACGTGTTTATTCCCCTGTTTAACAGATGGAGATCCAGTTAAATATTAGCTACGTGTTTATTCCCCTGGTTAACATATGGAGATCCAGTTAAATATTAACTACGTGTTTATTCCCCTGTTTAACATATGGAGATCCAGTTAAATATTAACTACGTGTTTATTCCCCTGTTTAACATATGGAGATCCAGTTAAATATTAACTACGTGTTTATTCCCCTGTTTAACATATGGAGATCCAGTTAAATATTATCTACATGTTTATTCCCTTGTAGAACAGATGGAGATCCTGTTAAATATTAACTACATATTTATTCCCTTGTAGAATAGATGGAGATCCAGTTAAATATTAACTACATGTTTATTCCCCTGTTGAACATATGGAGATCCAGTTAAATATTAGCTACGTGTTTATTTCCCTTGTAGAGCAGATGAAGATCCAGTTAAATATGTTTAACTGCTGGGGTAATGGTGTTGAACACAATAGTAAACAATAAACAGGAAAGAGTTATAAAAATGCTTACTTTATTTGATCTGCAGTTTTGAGAAATGTTCTATTAGCTTGTATTGTGTTTACATGATAACACAATTTTTTTTTTCCATATTCAGTTTTAACAGGCTGGACCTTCCTCCATATGAGAGCTACCAAGATCTTCGGGATAAGTTGATCCAGGCAATAGAAGGATCAGACACTTTTGGGGGTGTGGATTAGGCTATCTGACTTAATGTCAGAAGTTCACTTAAGTTAACGGAGGAGTTTTGTGTATAATTTTTTCTCTGAAATAATATATACTTTTTACTTAAAAATTTTCAGCCAATTCTCCTTGGGCTGGTAGTTCATCAGTATGTATATTAATAAAAATGAGAGAATGAAATTTCCATTGGTGTTAAGCAGTCTTTTTTAATCGTTCCCCCGAGGATAATTCTGGTACGTGATGTTTGCTGCCTTGTGAATTACATCAGGAATTTAGAATTTACTTGTTAATACAGATTGTAAAGGTTTACGGTTTGTATTTTATAATATGGTTTGATTTTTGTCTAACCAATAGACTGTGGTACATGGACCCATTTATTATTATATTAAATAGTTACTTAGAATTTATTCCAGAGAAGATGTTATTGTAAAAAAAAGCCTACATCTGATTGATATCACTGTATGTAAATAATCTTTGTAAATCATAAAATTGAGTTTGATTAAATGGATTGTGTTTGTATATTTTGCTAAAATTCTGGTGATTTAGCAAAATCCAGTGGAGTAATTTTTCACATCATTGCAGCTTTTAGTGTTAGCTTTTAATATTGTGGTTGATATACAAGATTATTGAGTAATTGTTTTTGTGTTCTGAACAGCAACAACCAAACCTAAAGAATGTTTCTAAATCTGTATTTCCACCTAGGTATCCATTACATATTTTTTACGTATATTTAGAATATGCTGTTATGAAAGACCATCATTCATAATTCTAAACCTTTCCACTACTGTTGAGAAGTAGTGGTTATATTCAGACATATTTTCTAAGAATCTGCTAGTCATTAAGATATATATAGAGAAACTTTTTTTTTTCTCGTAACGAGGCAGTATTTTGATAAAAGCTTGATATTTTTTCAAACTCTGGGAATACAAATAGCCAGACTAAAAACTGGTACTATACAAGCTGCAAAGAATAAAGTTCAGCTGAAACTATCCAGTATTAGAAATTTATTTCTCGTCAAATATTATAAGCAAATTTCTAATTTTTAGGTTACGCCTCCTAACAAGATGTCATGTATTTGCATAAATAACTAGAACTTTCTGAGTTATAAGTAGATCCACATATTTTGTGCCTAAACGTTGAAGATCCAGCTCTGCTTTGTTCATTATACATTTATAGATGTATTGGTGAGTTTTACTTTCCTAGTTAAGTTTGAGATGTCTGTGTGTAGTTCAACGGAACAGCATGGCTGGATTCCTGTATGGATATCAAAATAAGAATTCTTGTGCTTGGATTGCCTTGCATTGAAAATTTCCTAAAAATAGTGTTTAATCAATGAAAATATTTACTTCTGTTGTTTTAAAAGATTATTTGTTTATTTCCACCTTAAATATTTTAAGGTAGACTTATAATTTTCTATTCTGATCACAGAAGTTATTTTTGCTGTGTGCTATCAGTCTGCTTGTAAGATGGTCTGTTTTTTACATCGTAGTGTTTATTTATGGTTCGGCCAAGCTTTTAATATGTATAGAAGGTTATCTTTTTTAAATATGAAGATGATTCCCAAAGATGATCCTTAGCTTAAAATACAAAAACATTTCTTTCATTGTCAAGTAAGATACAACTCTGTATACCTTCTCAAGAATAAAGACAGTCTTCTTAGATATTTTTTTTTAATAGAGAAATTAATTTTATAATTATTGTTTAAACACAAGGGCTTATATGTGTTAGGATATCTAGCAACCTATAATTAACCCAGAAAACTGGACATTAAGATTTGAAGAATGATGTATGATTTGTAAATCTCTGAGGTGAAAAAAAAAGGTTTTGAGCTTTCTGTTGACAGTTGTTCGAATTACATATGTAATCTTGATAGAAGGAAGACTGGAATGTGTGGACTTTTAGCATCAGTATACAGCTATATGATCATATAGATTTTATTTTAAAATGGGTGTTTTTTAAAGCGTTTATCCAGTCCAATCACTTAAGATATTCATAACTGATGTTCCTTTTTAAAGACATTATACTTAAGTTTTGAAAGGGTAAACAGAATTAAATAACAAATGGTATACAATTACTGAGAAATATATGCTACTGTTGATACAGAAACAAAGTAGCCAGATAAATTGTTTCTTTATTACATACTTTAAATAATGTAGTTTTGGCAAACATATGTTATAGTCCACGTTTGAATCAACTGTACAAAACAGGTTTTCAATTTTTTTCTTTGATTAGAATTTCGTCTGTTACATATCAAAACACCAAATAAGAATGTTTGCAAGTTCTACAGAGATTCGAGAGCTATTAAAATAAAACTTTCAGAGTCTACTGTGTTTAGATTTTGAAGATTATTTTTATTGTTTGGCTTGCTAAAGGTGTATGAAACTCCCGTTAAAACATCAGAAATGTTAATTTTGCAATCCACGAGAATTTAAAAGAACTTCATTGGTAATTTTATGTTTTTCGTCAATTTTTGTGTATTTTTCTCATAGCAGTTTAAACACTTTTAAAGTAGATAGTACAAAGAATTATTCTGACAGACGTTAAGTGTGCACCATTTGCATTAAACTTGTTATTTTTGTGTTTATTAAAACAATAGTTTTTGGATATTATCTTTTCTATTGTTTAGTTCGTATAATGTCATACCTATTCTAGAAATAGAATCATCTTTACTATTTATAAATATTGTTATGTCTGGAATTCAGGATTCACCATTTGTTTTTATAACTGAAATATCTCTTTAAATATTCATATTTACTTGGTGGTAGTTATAATTTTTATGGTGTGTTAATTAAGGTACGAAAAAATTTATTTACAGTTATTCGAATTTACAGTGATTATAGTAGAAGACTTTAGTGACCTTTTAAGCATCAATGGTGGAAAATATTAAAATCCTATATTAAATATTATCCAGCTTCTGATTATTTTAAGATTATCAGATTTGTTTCTGTGTTAAAAGACCAGTAAAAAAATTCGAAAAGGTGGACATTAACTTTCAAGCACCCTCAACAGTAACAGCAAGACTGATTTTCTTTTATTGTTCCTATATTCATTAGAGAATTGGGAGAGTAAATGTTTAATGATATATTCAGAGTTGCTCCTGATCTGCCTAATTATAATTCATTATCAAACAAAGATGTTTAGCCCTATACAGTACTGTTTTTATACTTAATTCTCTATGGTTGAACTTTGGGTAACATTTTAAATCTATAAAAACGGGAGTAACTTCTCAACTAGAATCTTATTTGTGTTCAGAGTAGCATCAATAAATCTAAAGTCTGACACTTGCAAAATGAACAAAATGAAAGTGTTTCTAATCTAAACGTGTTATTAGACTTGAGACAATCATAATTTATTTAATTCTTAATACGATTTCTTCATAATTAATGTATAGCGAAAGATAAAGTTTAATTTTCTAGATGTATTAAAGTTTGATATTTTTTTTTTTATACACTGCATCTACTAAATCATGTTGATTTATGATTCAGAAAACCTGTTAAAATCTTGCTTGCATGACTTTGCTGTAAGGTAGTTTACTCATTGAAGTTTTGTACAGTCAAATGGTTCAGATTTATTTCTCCTATGATTAGATTCTATCCTGGTGGTGTTTCGTGTGCGCATTACAAAACCGATTAAAACGTTTTATTAAGGCCTATCTATGGCCTACAAAAAGTTGACTCTACATGTTTCGACGTTACAATGACGTTGTAACGTCAAAACATGTAGAGTCGTCAACTTTTTGAAGGCCATAGATAGGCCTAAATAAAAAAATTTTTAAAATTGTGTACCAGTTTAACGTTGAATATTATGTATGATTTTAATGTTCAAATGAGTTTAAACCCTTTATTTGTAAACAATATATAAGCTATGTAAAACAGTTTATTGAATATTCATGTATAAAATTTGCTGTGGAATACTATCGTTTTCTAGTTTTGGATAGAACCATTAATAAAGACAAATTTTTAAAGTATGTTAAGAATATTTGTTTCAATAAGTATATTAAATATCTTTTATGACCATTTAAACACAATTTTCGTTTTGAATTGTTGTGAATAAAAGATGCTTATGATAAGTATTCTATTAAAATGACAAAACCATACCTCAAAGAAATTAAAACCTTTGTGAAAAAAACAGCTTGTTCTTCCATATATAATTACCAGGTATTAAAAAAAAACATATAAACGTTTTCAGAATTGTGAATCCTGAAGTTTAATAAAACTTTTTTTTAAAATCTCAATTATATCTGAAGTCTAGATTCTCACTTAAAAGATCCTTCGCTATTTAATAAACGGTTTTGGCGGGCTTGTTGTTAAACCTATATTAAATTGACCTGAAAAACATTATCTTTATTAGGGACTATTTAGGAGAATGAAACACAAAAACATTCAACTGGTTCAAACAAAATGTTAAACTATTCTTTCATAAGTAAGGCAGCACCAATCAGTGTAAAATATGCTGATAATTTTTCTATCAGTGCTAATATATACATATAATATGGTGAAATTAATAATATCAAAGCGTTAGGCTTAATAAAGTAGTATCGAATTTTCTAACAAAAGCAAACCCTCCGCTGATGTCAATTAATATTACACTTTAATGTAAAAATCACAATACCACAATTCTTTATTAATTTAACTGAAATTTATGTTTATCTCTTGTACTGGCATGTTGTACATCATAGCTTGCATTAACCATCTGAAAATCTGACTTTTAACTTCCCCGGGCAGGTGGTTAGGGCGCTCGCCTCGCAGTCCGAGGGTCGCGGGTTCGAATCCCCGTCACACCAAACATGCTCGCCCTTTCAGCCGTGAGTGGTGATGAATAGCTGCCTTCCCTCTAGTCTTACACTGCTAAATTAGGGACGGCTAGCGCAGATAGCTCTCGTGTAGCTTTGCGCGAAATTCAAAACAAACAAACGAAACCATTGGACTCTAGGACTTAAAACACAAATAAACACAATAAGAAATAAAATTCGAAACGAAGTCCGACAACAAAAACAAGACAGTTGGGACAATTTTTGCTCTCAACTCAATGATAAAACTGATCCTAAACAATTCTGGAATCACCTCAAAAGATACACAAATGCAGGAAACAAAAATAGTAACTACCCAACCCTAGAAACACAAAACGAAACAGCATACACAAACTCATGTTTTGAATGTGTTTTGTAGGTGTTCTTTGAAAATTTTGGCTTTTTCGTTCGTTCATGTCTGATTCATTGTGAGATGTAATTATTTACTTTATTGTAAAAATTTTGTGTTTACTGGAAATTTAGGTATGTACATATCTATGTTTTGTTTCTTAACAAATCAACTGAAATAGAAAACCCAGTC